CCTAAAATTAATGATTTTGCTGCAGCAAAATGTGCATATTTATAGCCATTCATTCTAAATGAAATTTAGAAAGACTATTAATCATTTATTTGCAAATTCAAGGAAATTAACTGTATTTTCCATACACATTTCATTGTTTTTGATTTATTGTTTTTATTTAACTGAAAATTACTTGAAATTTAAATGTTTCATTTTAATACGCGCCTACCCAAGGCACGTTCATATATTTTGCGGTGGTTAGTCCTTCAAAATCTACTAAATCACTCCAGAAATTTAGTTTAATTAAACTCTTGTGTGGCGATTAGGCTTTGAACAAGAACTTGGGTCAGTCTGTTAACGTTAGTAGAACTCAATATAGTGCATTTAATGAAATATTTCATTTCAACAACTCAAATCGGTTTATGAAGTAAGATCCTCTTTCAAATTGTGAATGACTCCATATTACTACTTTAAGGCTCGCCCCCCCCCCCCCCCAAATGAACTCAATAGGTCGTTCATAAGATATCAGTTACTTCAACCTATTCCTTTCACGTGATCTCCATGACTCAAATTTCATGGCTTTATTAATGCAATATTTCGTAATCTAAACCCAACTTCAGGATTTTATGACATTTTTGACGTGGATGGTTGAGGGAGAAAAAAATCTGCAAACAGAATTATTCATTTTTAATACATTTCTAACAATCTGTGCTCCTCGGTTCTCCCACCATCTTCTAGACGCCACATTAACCTTAGACAAAAAAATTAACGCATTAAAAATATTTTTTATCCGTCTTCCTAATCACAAATTTACTCTTTTTTCATGACTTATACCACAGTCGTTCAAGTTTTTTCGCGTCAATTTAAGGTTTGGCTTTAATTTTATAAGGTTTTTTGGTAAAATAACAATGACCTTTTAAAATTGTGTTAGTTGACTGCATTTTTTAAATCAATACCATCAAAAAATAATTTCATTGTAATTCGCCGGTAATTGGGTATCTTCAGTCTACTTTTAGCTTTGCCTTGTCAAATTCGATGATGTCCTAATTTCGAGACACGAGTCCCAACTTCAAAAGCTACTTATATGTCCTCATTGTTGTCTCTTTTTTCATTTCGAATCCAGGAGGTTCTATGAAATTGCCCTTTTTAAGCTTTCAATTTGAAATCTGGTTATCCATAGTCTTTGCATGTAACAACTTCTTCTTGAACGCCAACTGAGCGCGGTCATGATTCTGAAAATTCAATTTATTGCAAAGAAAATAATGGTTCATTGTAGGAATATGTCTTCAGATCAACGTAGTGAACGCTAAGTAATTTCTTCCAGCACCCACAATGGCAGATTCTGTAGAAAACTACAAATGAAATTCAGTGTAAAATTTGAGAGATAAAATTTCATATTATTGGTGTCATTCTCTTACTAATTTATAATTTAATCAATTATAAAGTCGCTGAATTATTAAATAATCGTTAAATTATTTGACTTGGGAAATATGGAGTTGCTCCGCAGTCAATGTGTGTCTCATTCATATGTGGACGATCTGGGGTTTCGAATAAAGCAGCATTTACCGAATTGCCTGTACTTCAATTTTAATTTTAACAATTGAAGTAAATAAGAAATAGGGCTTGTCTTGAGATCAGAAGATTTGGCTGAAAATTTCAATAAGCTGAAGTCGACCATTGTTGCTTGAACTACTTCTCCGATCTCCATTTTCTGCCTTAAAGTGTATTCCAAATGGGCTTATTTCACGGTTGGCACGAATACAGTAGAGGATCCTCTTCACCAGCACATTTCCCAAGCCAGGGTGTAGTCATCAGTTCCTGTACAGTCATCAGAGCCCAATTGTGGTTTCGAATATCCCTTAAAAACTGCAGACTAATCTCTTTTGCAGAGTCATCTCCACTTCAATGGGAATACAAACGAGTACAATGGAATTACTTATAGCTGGCAACTAAGAGGTGATTGGCTTAAATTAAATCAATTAAATCAAAACGTTAGGAGCTTATAGGCAGTGGTTGATCATGCATCATCATAAATTGTCCTCCACTCAAAGTTGAAAGTGACTCGGTTATTTCACTTTTATTTTCTTCATGAGGTTGTAAATATTCTAATTATTGTTCCTAATCGAATAATTTCAATACAAAAACCTTTTGCCGCTCCTAAAATGAATGTGCTTGGCTAAACACCTGCATAAATTTGAAGATCAGATTTGGCGTCTTCAAATCGGTTCGCAGTGTTAAACTCAAGGTCTTTTTTGGCTAATTGAATTATTGCGCGGTTTTTTCGTATGGTGCAGTGCCTTTAACCCTGATTTTGGTCCATATATTTTTTTGTGAATTTTTTCCCTAAACTCGATTAACATTAAATATTGAGTGGATAATGGAACAATTAAACAATATCAAATGTAACCCTTCCTATAATCAACTTTTAATTCCCCCATAATTGTGAACATCATGGTAATGAAATTTTCCTTCGCTTACTACGTCGATTTTCCTGAGGGTTTCAATAGCAAACGAGACTGATTTTGGTTTCGATGAATATCGAATGTTTTCATGGACTTGATAGGAGTTAATTTGGCATACAGTGAGCTACATGCTGACAAACGGGAGAAAATCTTTTCTTTTATTTTCCCTAGTGACGCCTAACGTTTTATCACTCCTCTAAACCAAAAATAGCGCATAATTTCAAACTATTGGCTCTTAATTCTCGCCATTTACATCGGTATTATAGATTTTATTTAAACGTCTTACGTATAGCTTATGAATAATTCGCATATTTTATAATACTCGCAATCATTTAATTCTTAGAAGACACTCATTCCCAACTGTTTACTCAGATATTTGCACTATTAAGCTGCTCGCTTTAAAGTTAGAGCAAGCTATTTTGCCATCTCCAATTCACCCTACAATTTGCTGGCCGGTAGGTAAATGAATGTGCCAACTGAGTAAATAAGGAACAGAGTCATGTTTAGTGCACAGTCAAAGGTTAGTCAATGGTTCACCGTGGTTGTGATCGGCAGGTGTTTCAAAAATCAATGACAGAAAAAATCTTAGTTTAATCAAGAAGGGGCTGCTGTTTGCAGAGTAATTAAGAGTTAGCTATGGGTCGGATTCATTAATTTTGGCGAAATAATGTATTTTATCTGTCATTATTAAACCAGATATCCATTTTAAGTCAATGAGAATGTACAAAAAAGTCTTCCCCCCCCCCCCCACCCCCCCGAGATTATTCTCCAAAAATATTCCCTCGTGATAAATCAATACCTTTCTGTTAAGAGGCAGAATCGTATCTTTCCAATGCTATGACCATAATTCATGAAATTCGATCAATAAAATTCGTTCTTACTAAACTAGATAATTCGATTTTTAATCTTATCCCTGCAAATGAAGTTTCCCCAACGTTTTAATTTCTTTCTAACTAGGTAATCAGTTAATTCATACTTAAACAGCAGTACTTTCTTAATAAAGTGATGGAAAAGCCCTTGATGAGTTACGGATCTTCTCATATCTTCCTTCTAAGACTGTCTTGGACATTTTAAGCTAATTAGAACTTATAAGTGATTGTTATTAGGCTGAGATTGTGATGGAATAGATTTCAAATTCTTGAAAATTATTGAAGAAAGGACTTTACAGTTGTCAATCATTAAATAGGTTGATACATATCTGGCAAACAAAAAACAATTGCCGCATTGTTTTAGCATGACGTTCATTTGAAAACAGTAGTAACAAGGTAGGTTTCTGTCGAAATGGCTATTATGCATCTAATTATCGAAAGTTTAATCCTCCCAAACCCATTCTTTTTTTCTCCGATTGTTAGCAAGATCACCCAATACTGATAGAGGCAGGAAACTAGGCACTGTGTGGCGCCGCTATGGTTTATTTTATTGTTTAAGAAAGCTAACTGAATGTACAATTTTATTGAGGAATTAGATGATAGACAAATAAGATATAGATTGTTATTCACTAACCCCTACCCTCCTCTAGCACGCTTTCCTAAAAGATCGCCTTTTGAGTTCTGCATCAATTAACATTTTATTTCTTTAACTTCTCCATTACCCTTTAATGCAACCATGGTTTCTCTGACGTTTCTTATTACTAAAATAGATTCACCTATTTGGCCTTGAATATCTTGTAAACTATTGGCTGCCTGGCTAACCAATAATTGTAGCGTCGATTTCTCCACAGGTGGTCTAGCATATCCTTAGGAGAGTTAGAGAAACCAATACTAAAGAGCTCAATTCATGGGAGATCAAATTTGCCAGTTTTTCCAAAGTGCAACAAAATTATGATCGGTGTCAGTTTACTTTTCGATTACTAAGGCTATTTACACATTAGCTTCAAGGTTTAGTAAATCATTTCTTTCATTTCCTTAGGGCGCTTTTTTCTAAGATGTGTGACTAATATAACTCAACTTTACTCCGATCAATTTAAAAAAACATTTCTAATTTCCAGCCTACTAAATGGTATATTCTCGTTTCCTGCAAGCAGCATTTCTTGGTCACAATCAATGCAGAATTCAGATTTAAGGCATGCCCTTTCAATTCTGCATGTTATTTTTTTATTTCCCGTAGACAGTTATTTGTAATGCTAACCCAACACTTTTATTACCGAACTTATGCACTTATGTCCCAAAAGTTCATAAAGTAGAAAGCATTGCTTTGATTAGTATTATTATTATTTCGTACGTGGTGAATAAAAAACAGAAATAATTGGCCTTTTTACTCTTGGAAAATAGTTGAAATTGACGTTCAATTTACTATCCCAACTTTCTAAGGCGTTACTCCATCGCTTTTCCCTCTAAATTATCTCTCTTCGTAATAAATTATAAATTAATAGTAAATTGTATTTAAAGTACTTTCAATTTGAGATTATGAAACTATTTCGGACGGCTCTGTAGAACTTGTATCGAATAGTTCCTTCATTTGCCTACTAATCGTTAAATCGATCCTTGTGTTCCTTTGCTTCGCTAAAAAGATTAGCTTTTCTCACCTTTGCCATTTATTAACCTTCGTTATTACTTCAAGGTGAAGACAGCATTGATGAAGGCATCGCTTACCCAACCGGCAGTTCACAGTATTTGCAAACCAAAAACTCCAACGAAGCCTTCATTAACGGAGATGGCTTTAGGGTGAGTAGACTTGAACTTGATAATCAATAAGATTTAAACATTTGGGGGGAACAGCCCAGGATTTAAGAAATTTAATTTGCTGAGATATCCGGTGTTAAGTTTAATCCGGCACAATCGTGTGAATATCCGTTTGCACTTTCAATAGGATGCCATTAAAGAGTTGTTGCTATCAATCAAGGAAGGTGGTTCATTTGTTTTCAGCTTCCGTTGGTTTAAAATGTCAATTTTTGTGTTTCTATTGTTAAAAATGGCAATATTCGCCTAGACCGAAATTAACGAAACCCGATAGCACCATATGCAATGAGGCAAATTCGATCTTGGTTATGATTAATTCAATTGTTTTCAAATCTTAAGTACCCTTATTAATCTTACATAATATTCTCTTACCCAGAGAATCGTTAAGTCTTTCTTTTTCATTTATCATCTTCAAATTTATTTAGCACCTGAATTTGAGCGTGTCAAAAATGCCGCTTAAATTTACGGACCTAGTTATAAGCATTCTCTTAGCCATAAATGTGCTCATAAAACGCATCAAAAGGAATTTAAAAATAGCCCATCAGTATTTTGGGGCAGATTCTTTCATGCTCTTTAAATCCTAAAATTACTACTCACTATTGAGGCCAAAAAATTTGCTCAAACATTCCAACATTCCTCTTCCATGAGTTATTCCCCAGGGTTCCCAGAGTGATTTCGTTCACGCGATATCCGGACATTAATTATCTGTTGAGCTACTACTCTAGCGATTAAACAATTTTAGTCGAATTATTAAACTTGACGTGTATGATCGCTTCAATGCAGTACTGTAGTAGAAGTAGTAGTTAAAAATTAAAAAAATGCATGATATAAAATTTCCGGAGGTCGTATAACATATTTATAAGGCTTTAAAAGTCACTAATTTCGTGTAATTATTCTCCGTTTATTTGCATATGAGTTTCGAATTTATCAACATGGCATAATTGTATGAAATGGAAGTTGCCTAATCCGTTATTTACAGTAATCTGGACTTACCTTCGTATGTTACCAGTGTTTACTGTCTGGCTCGTATCTTACTTGTTAATAAAGCTTGTTACTTCATGCACCTTTCTTCATTCAATCACTAGTGCAGATAATAACGCATTCTACTCATAAAAATTGAGGTTTACTTAAACACTTTCAGTAGTATCGAACGCAGTTAATATTTCGCTCAAGTATTTACTATTAAACGAAGATTTTCCCTTTTCAGGCCTCTGGTCAACTCCTTAAACGTGTAGGTCAGGGAAGCAAAGAATTCGGAGGAAGCGGAAGCCAGAACATTGGCTCTATAGGCGACTGTGGAGGCCTTGAATGGAATTTTGTACCAGATAATGCTCCCATCTGCCGCAAACCAATCACCTCAGGGTGAGTATTTAAATGCGTGTATACCAATCCGTTCTGCTATTGGTCATCGTTGGCCGCTGCTTTATAACGGCACTTCGATGAGTAATCGTTGTGGTTTTGGATGGCCGCTTTCTCTCGAGACATCTTACTCGGATTTATTCCATATAAATGGTGCAGTCGTTTTGCTGGAGCCTTTCATTTTATCCAAATTTTAAAACGATTACATTGAATTCACGTTCGAACCTAAGTCATTCACTTCAATAAACGAATTTGTATAATTGGAACTATTCATTAAATAGTTCATGTCGAAAATGCCCAATTTCACATGAATCCATTCTCATTCCATCCTCAATTTCAAAGTGATCAATCATTAATCATAGAATAATATTCCTAAAAAATAAAATGCTTTACGGCATGCCAAACTTGACCAGAATTGCTGTCTTCATACAAGTAAGACTGATTTTCCTACGAATTGCACCTTCATTTTCAAGCTAGTCTCAGTAAATTGCTTTTATATGAAAATACATCAAATCATGTGTGGGATTTATCACAAAATTATTTTGTTAAAACCTCTGATTGACCTCGTCAACAGTTAGATGCACTTTCAGGATTTTCGACGTTTTAATTTGACACCAGAAGAGTACAGGATTCGGGATATTTCACTGTAATTCAACTGACGTATTAGACTGAGCTTAAGCGCGCAAGGTTGTAACCACCATAAAATCTTGGACCAATCAGCTTTCCCTTATCCTCGCTCCGATTGGTTGATTTGTGCGCACGTATATCCGCTCAATCATTGGCTCTGGGCCATCTAGTGCCTGTTTTGGTCGTTTCGTGCGTTAGTTCTGTTTGTGGCCTGTTTGGAGTTGAATATTCTGCGTAAATATGGGAATAACCGAACCTTCTGAATCAGCCGAGGAAATAAGCTCCCTCCATTTGGAGAAGGAAGAGAGCAAAAATTCCCAAGTTGGATCTACTCATGATAGGTGGGTCTTATTTCTGTTTATCATTTTCGTCAGAAGCAGTGACAGATTGATTATTTATATACAGCTGACTTTTGTTATTTAATTGTTATTCTGCTCACGCATATTTCTTTCATGAACTTTTTGGAATGTCAATATGACTTTTTTAAATTCCCGTACTCACGTATACTTAAACCCTTTGCCGGATTTTCTCTTGGTTTAGCAGTTAAAGAGAAGATTTCACATTTTTCCATTACCGGCGGATATAGGCCCTTGTCTTAACTCCTATTGGTTGACATTGGCCTTAACTACTCTTTTTATCTTTTCAATTTCCGTTTTGTAAAACATTGGCCAGTGCGCTCATTTCGTCATGTAGATAGGAGGTTTTTTATTGCCTTGAAAGTAATTGGAATTGGGGCGGGGGGTGGGTGGGGTGGGGAATTGTCATGGGACTTCAGATGTCAAAGCCCGTCCTCTCCTTCGTGTTCTACCTCCTTGAGTTAATTACTATTTGCTTTAAACTGTTCAATTCATGTAAAGTTGATTTTATAAAGCTGGCATGTTTTTTTAGATTTTGACATTCTTTAAAGTCTAATTAAGAAAATTTCACCTTTACCTGTAAACTTCCTATTCTCACCCAACATTCCGATACCACTCAAAGTAGGCTTTTGGATTTATTTCAATTTCAATTCCCAAATCCAGTTATGAATATAGTTGACATTTTGCTAAAAAAGCATATTTTTGATGCAATTATAAAAAAATTAATAATGTTTTTAATGGGTTTTCTGTTTTGACGATCTATTGCGGTTTTGGGTTCCGATCTCGCTACTGTGAATTGTTAAGGTCACTTAGAACACATGTTTTATTGCTGAAAGGTCGCAGTCATTTCGAGTTAAGCGTCCTAACCACGATGTAAAGTTGATTCCATGAGGATTTTTTTACATTCTGTTTGGTAATTAGGCGATTTCTTCCTTGCATAGGACGAGTTTTTTCTGTTTATTTTAACTCAGTTATGGTAGGCATTACTGCACTTGTCGTAAATGCTATATTCTGTCCGTTGGAAACGGCCTGTCCAAATGATAAAATCTCAGTTTATAAATTTAGTACTGCTATATTTCTAGCATTGTTAGAAAAAGATCAATTTGAGGTAATCTCCATTTTCTCGCCTATTCGCATTGTGAAAGTAGCTGAGATTATTTATTCATAACTTCTTCCACATAATTCTTTTTTTTTCACCAGAGTTCTTGTACATTGCCGTCTTTTGGTTAAGCACACGTAATGAGGTTGGAACTTCTAAAATCTACTATCATTATCTCCTATTGCTTTTCTCACAAGCCCACTACAATAATAATCCCCCACTGCGAAATCGTGTTCAGTTGAGAGAAAAGCTGTTCGTTTATTATGTCCACTATGACATACATTGCTTCCTTATCAGGTAAGTAACACTGTTTCTATTCGGATAATGGCCATATTTCTTGAAAGGGACGCCATCTAAGTTCGATGCTTTTCTGCTTATTAGTGTATACTTCGATAACTGATGTCAATGCTTAATGTTAGTTGTAAATCGCCTCCAATTTTTTTTTAATATATCTCAATAAGAACTGCGATAGGCTTAATAAGATAAAAGCACCTTTGTTTTTTTAAATTTTTTAATCATATCTTGCATTTCACTTAGAAACAGTTCACTTCTTTTACATTTACTGTGTTTGTGGTTTAGCTGTCACCTTTGAATTAATTGTTAATCTATAGTATGCAAAAGGAGGGGGGGGGGGGGTTGGAGCGAGGTAGAAGTTGGTTACTCGATTCTGGAAGCCGTGCGTCCTATTGCTTCATCTGATGCACACATTTCAAGCACTCCTATACTCTCCGGATGTTTTCACTCTTTTTATTGCTTCTATTTTGTACTAATAATGAGCCGATTACCTTTCCTACCGACTAACAAGTGACGCCCTTTGACAAAGTCTAACACCCTTCCTCCGATTATGATTTGTTCTATCGACAAGATGTACGTTTAATTATGTCTGATTATGCAAATAATTTTAATTCCATGATTGATAACTTTTATGAATCATGTGATTAATAAATTTGACATTGTAATTTATTAAATTCACTTGTAAATTAACGTTTTATGGAGAGTACTTAACCAATTTACGATTGAAACTTACGCACACCTGAACGAATCTCTAGTTGATCTTTATCGATCCTACATTCAAGGAAAGTTGTTTTTGTTTTGTCGCAGTAAATTGCTATTCCCACTTCCTGAAACTCGCATTCTTGAAATTTTTTTCGGGATTTGCTGAATAATTCTACTTGGCTTCCTGTCGCCTCGCCTTGACAACGCATTGCTACTACTGACCGAATCTATCACATCCTCGTTTGACCTTTGCTTTGATTTTGCATACCATGAGAATTCTTTTGTTTAAATTAGTCACTCCAATGCTTCTGTTTTTGTGTGTTGCTTTTGTAGAGACGTGTTGGGGAATTAAAAATTCAAATGTATACTCTTTAATGCATACTATTTCTGTCTTATCAAATTACACGAGGTGGCATCATTGAGCCTCGGGAATCTTAATGTTGTCCATACAACGGACATGTTCGTTATAATTTTTTTTGTAAACCTCGTTAATGGACGCATTGGCTCTTTACTCTCTTAATCGATTGAATCTCTCGTTTTCCTCTTCATTTAGCTTCCTCGTCTCCTTTTTGGTTGACGCCCGTGGTGGTTCTATGCGAGCAAGCCGTCATCCAGGACTTCGTATCATGGTGCCTCCAAGTGCTGCCAGTGCTCCAACTCGCGTCACTTGTCGAATGCTACGTCCAGAACGCACTGCTGCTCCACCTCAACTCAATGATGGCGAAGGCTTGGCTTGTCGGTAAATTATAGTTTTTTTTAACCATTACTCACTCCTCCTCATGTCTTTTGAGATGACCCTTATATTACATTATTAATTCTGTCTTCAATGACCGTCTCAACTCTAGCTACTCTTAATACACTTAAGGTTACAAGCTGAAAGACAAGGTTGTAAATGACGGTTTAGAACTCTTCACTCACTTGCACTTACATAGACTCAAGGAATGCGGAAGTGGGGGGGGGGGGTAATTAACACTTAGGACAAATTGCCACGATGAAATCTTGAGTCCCACTGGGAATGTCAGTTCTTAAGCACTAATTTCGCCGTTCCCACACTCATAAATGTTGATGAGTCAGTTGTAGTGTCATGGAACTGTATACTCGAATAGTAGCTATGTCTTTCCCACACTATGTTTCAACGGAGAGCGTTTTCTATCACTCATTTCGAGTAGGGAGCAAACGTCGTGGAGATAGCTGTGCGATTATTACCATTGTGCGATATTTACTGATAGAAAAACAATTCGTGACTTGACGCGGCATACTCTTGAAGGTGCTTTTGAAGGCCTTTGATTAAACTAACGGTTTCCTGGGTTCTCTTGTAAGCAATCTCATATTCGATCGTCCCTCTACGTACTTCAATCACTGGATAAGTGGAGGCTAGTCACCAAGCCCATGAAATTCGGCCTTGTGCATTCGTTGCATACTACTCCGTTTTTCCCCCTTTCAGCATAATCGAGCTGGGTCCGCATCCTTGTCAATTCAACTCACCAGTCTTGCTTGAAATTCCACACTTTGCAGCTATACGTGGACGTCAACGAGAGATTGTAATTCTTCGTAGTGATGATTCGGAAACTTGGAAGGAGCATTCCCTGGAAGCTACCGATCAAGCTGTACGAAACGCT